AGTAGAGCTCGAATGCAAGGGTACAACATTATCAATTCTCTTCTCAATGCTTGTTTATTAAAAAGGGATGAAGATGTAAAATTTGTAAAGATGCATAATGTAATCCGTGACACGCTTTTGTGGATAGCACGTGAGTGTGAAGCACCTGAGAAGAAATTTCTTGTACTGAGTAGGGGAAGGATCAATTGAGGCATTTGATGTTGGAAATTGGGAAGGGGTGAGAATGTCATTGGTGAATAATGGAATTGAAGATCTAAGAGGAAACCCTACATACCCTAATCTTCAAACTTTATTTACTCAGCAACAACAAGTTGAAGGTGATTAGTGATGGTTTCTTTCAATTTATGCCCAATCTGAGAGTTCTAATCTTGTCTTTAAATTTAAATCTTTGTGAGTTGCTAAAGGGAATTTCAGAACTGATTTCACTAGAGTATCTCGATTTGTCATATACAAAAAAAAAAAGAGTTACCGATTGAGCTGAATAGGTTGTCAAAATTAAAATTTTTGAGATTGTTTGAGACATATTATCTCCAAAAAATCCCACGGCAGCTGATATGTAGATTTTCAAAGTTGCAAAGATTCATAATGTCTAGGTCAGATTCTTGCTGAGATGAAATCGATGAAGACAATATCCTAAATGGTGATAATGAAGGTCTAATAAAGAAATTAAAATGCTTGCAACATTTGGATGAGCTGATTATAGAAATAAAAAAGTGTTTTTGCTCTAGAAAGCCTTTTGTGCTCGCACAAGTTACAAGGATGCAATGAGAATTTATGCCTCCGAGATTTTAGGAAGACAAAGGTATTGAATGCTTTATGTTTGGCAGTAGAGTGCCTAAATATTAGCTGTTGTACAAGCTTGGAAGAGATGGCAATGGGGAAGCTGAAGAAGGAATTAGAAGAAGGAACCTCCTCACTCTTTCCAACTAATATTAATACCATTAGTCCTTGCTTTCACGCACTGAGGCAGGTTTCCATAAGCAAATGCATCAACTTGAGGGACATGGCATGGCCAAATCTGACATGTCTTAGTGTAATGTTTTGCTTAAGAATGGAAGGAATAATAAGTGAAGTTGCAACTGTGGTTGGAATTCCGCAGCTAAGCCCATTTGCTAAGCTAGAAAAGCTTGATTTATGAGAACTACCAGAATTGAAGAGCATATACTGGGATACCCTACCCTTCCCATGTTTGAGACAAATCAAAGAATTCAACTGTCCAAAATTGAAGAGGCTTCCGCTCAACTTTGACAGTGGGAATCAAATCAGCATTGAAGGGTATGAGGAGTGGTGGGAAGAGCTTCAATGGAAGGATGAAGCCACTCGCAATGCTTTTTTACCCTCTTTCAAACGTGTAGAGTGGTGGAAAGAGGTAGACTTCAAGGATGAAGCCACTCTACAGCCTAAGTTTTGGCAACGGTAAAACTACAAAGGAAAGGTATGTGATATTTTAGAAGTAGATTTTCCCTTCTTTTTCTCTCTTACGGTATCATTGTCTTCAAAGGTGAGATGACATGCTAACTGTGTTTGATATGATGAGGTCTCTAAAATTCCTATCCCAATAGTATTCATTTATTCATCAATCATTTTAATCCTTAATTCATCCAGAATATTTGGCAACTAGCAACTTTTCTTGCTTGGAATGACCCAATCATTTTTAATTCTTCGTAGTCCTCATTACATTTACTGTTAACACAACATATTTTGGGAAAACCTAAAGATTCACTAATAAATTTTCTGCACATCCTCATGTCTTCTTATTCTTTGGGCAGAGACTGGTGCATGGACAAGTCAATCTGTTTCATGATAGCTACATGTATGTTGAAATCAACATTGAAAGAGAGCAAGGATGCTGGAAAGAGGTAGAATGGGAAGATTTAGTGTCTCAAGACACTTACTGCATGGTCTAATAAATTTCTGGAGTTATGAGCTGGAGGAACAAAAAACAATGAAGAACTCAAATGTAATAAGACACAAAGTATTGTTTGGTTCTGCCTTCTCTCTTGTCAAGTTTAGTTTGTCTTGGACCGAGATTGTAATTTGTATGTTCTGTTTTATCGGTATTCTCAGAGTAAGACAACAGAAAGCGTTTGGGATTTAACTAGGATCTCATGGCCTTTCCATTAGTTTGAGGAGGAAGTGATGTGGACTTTTTGATTGAACATACAAATTCTGCAGAAGCATCTTGGAATATAAAAGTTTGGAAATGCCGTCGGAAATATACTGGAATCTACCTTGTTGCAATCTTCATGGTTCCAGCCTTCAAGAACATTACCGTGATGCGAATAATTTGCCTAGGGTTCTAAAGAATTGCTTGCAATGTAGTATTCACATGTACTTCTTGCTGCTTCAACCTCCACCAATCACTGAAACTCTGACAGGGAGAAGAGATGAAGCTTGGAAAAAAGCATCGGGCTGAGGTAGCAAAAAGCTTGCCTGGATGGGAACGCAAGCTTATGTTTTAGAAGGCGTTGAAGAAGCAAGTGAAACTGATAAATCCCCATTTAAATGGAAAGAAAAGGTTAAGATCAGGCACTGGAAAATGTTCAGAGGGTGGAAGCAATGAGGGGAATTCAGCAGCACAAGACACGGGTTCATTAGACAGGGAACTCAATAAGATTAATACCCATTATATTGACAAACAGGAAGATTATGTCATCAGATTCCGGGTAATATTATCAGATCTTCCCTTCAGTAGAATCAATCGGAACTTTCTAAAAAGACTTAATATTAAATTATTTGGTTTCCTATTGGTTTCAATATTCTGTTATAGTATATTTCCATGTTTGCCTGTATTCGCTTTTCTTCCTTCAAGGGCATTGTGATTCTGTGCTTTCTTGACGTAGATAACCCTGCAATCAGACTCAGTGGTCATTGTCAGATTATTCCAGAGCTCAGGGTCGCAAGACATCAAGTATATTATCATATCCAAACCAAAAAGAAACAAGTTGTAAATTAAAATTTTCACTTTACAAAGTTTATTAAGGGGATAAAAATACTGGGTGTTTTTTTTTTTAATACGAATTCAACTAACAGTTGATGTTTATTTATTTTTCAGTTGTACTATAATATTTGAATTCTATTCCTAATTTGAACTGGATATTACTTTTTCTTTTTCAGTTATATTATAACACTTTTAAGTACATTCCTTATTTGAATTGGACTCGTGATGTCAAACAATATAAAAACCTAGTTTCTGTTCCTTTTAATTGCAACTTAAAAACGAGCAGAACATACCCCACAGAAAGCCAGGTAATTCTCTTTTCTATATCTTTTGTGGTTTTTCATAATATTTTACTTTTTCATATTGTTTCGTTCATAAAACAGTTCCTATTTTTAGACTATTGATCTAAGAAACCATGGAGAATGTTGAAGCAGATTGGAAAAATCTTCCAACACTTTGTTTGTTTCTGATTCTTGGCAAATTAAAAGCTTCTGGTACGCTGGTTCAATTTGGTGCAGTTTGTAAGAATTGGTATTCAGTTTTTAATGATTTTCTTGACTCAAGAAGGCGATCAGTGCTTAATCTAGTTCCTATGCTGGTGATTCCAACCAAAAAGAGCAACAAGTATCGAAAATTATACAGTCTACAAGCCAA